CACACACACACACACACACACACACACACACACACACACACACACACACACACACACACACAGATACAGCTGGTGTGATCAAACGCAGTCCAGTCTGAATCAGCCGAGTCACTCGATAATCCGATCTGAATAATCCAGCCCTGTTAGACACCACCAGTTTTGTTTTATTTCTGTCCTGTGCCGCTCTTGTTTATGATAAGCTGCTGATTTAATGCGCTGATTGTTGATACTGGACATTTTCCCACCGGGCCCACTTAAGGAACGCTCCACTCCTCTCTCCTTCACACACGCAAGCTCGTACACAGAGTTGGCTTTCGCAGCAGAGTCCGGGTCCAATTTGCTAAGTTAAACATCCTCCGGTGGAAACAAACGAACTGCCGTGCGTTTCGTGGGAATTTATTTATTTTTTCCTCCACAGCTCCAGTCTGTTTTACCTGGAAGGGGGAGTGAAGAGAAATGGCTCTCGGGGGGTCTTGTAGTGCTTTACGTACGAATGGCTCTTTCTCCGTGCCCATTCTTCAGTGTGTTTATATTTGTCATGTCCCTATTGTTGGCTGGGGCCATTGTGCAGCAGGGATCCCGTTCCTGTTAGCGATCGGTGATTAGTGTCGTTTAGTATTTTTGTGTGTGTTAGTCATGTTGGAAATGTCTCACTGTGTGAAAACACTTGCTGTAAGTGGATATGTCTGGAAGTCTGCCTTTATGTGTGAATAGGCATGATTAATAGTGATAATTGTGTGACTGAACACACACACACACACACACACACACACAGACTGGTTGGTTCATTTTTCGCTACTTAAATTTACTTGAGCCTAATTTATTAGCAGGGGAAAATTTGGCAAACGTGATTAGATTTACCATTTTTATTGCCTCTACACCACAAAAAGTCTATTAAATCAGATTTTTTTCCCCACTTTCTTATATTTTCAACTTAAAGCAAAAGTTCAAGTCTTTGCAAAGGAGGTTCTGAACAAATAAATTTGAATTTTGAATGTCCTCAGTTTGGATAAACAGGTGATTCTGACTGACGAGCTAACAGATAGCACATGTGGAGCTACGACTTTAGTGTTCAATTTCAAAAATGTTATCGTGATTCGCACAAACATTATTTTATAAACCTTTGCATAGTTTCTAGTTGTACTTAACACGATCATTCTGGCAAAAAAAAAGATATTACTCATTAACTCAAGTTAAAAGTAGCAGAAAACTAGTAAAAAAGGATCATTAAAAAAATTCCAGTTGGCCAAAAGTTAGCTGCTGCTATTAGTGCTAACAAAAATATAACATTTTTTAGAACTAAACATTCAATGTGAAATTGGTGGCAACGTAAAGGTTTAGAAAATAACATTACCTTTTTTTATTATTTGAATTGTTTTAACGTAGCTGCAATCCACTGTGGGCTTAACTTTCTTCTGACTAGCCATTAGCTCATCAATTTGGTCAGAATTAAACACTGATTCTCCAAATAAAAGTCATTATTAAAGTCACGGCAGGTGAGGTATGAATTGTTCAAAAGATCTGTACTATCCTCTAAGATTCTTTCATTTTCATAAACCTTTTAAACCTCCAAATCCACCTTAATTTGATATATTTGCTTGGAATTCCTCTGTGGAAGACTTAAAGTTCAAAGRCCAGAGATCTGACTGTTTGTCGTCCTTTCAGAGCTCAACAACTACCTGTACCTGGAAGCGAGCCTGAAGACGGAGCAGCAGCGAGCGCATCTCGTGAGCCCTGTGATAGCCGCTGACACCGGACCGCTCTGCCTCCTCTTCTCCTACCAGCTATGGGGGGAGGCCCAGGGCCACCTGAGGGTCCTGCTGCGGGACGCGCACAACGAGGAAACCGTCCTGTGGGCACTGAAAGAAGACCAGAGCGCCGTCTGGAAGGAGGGCCGGACCATCCTGCCACGCTCCCCTAAAGACTTTCAGGTATAACTTTGTTTCCATAACTAAAACAGCTGAAGTCAGTGAGTTTTAAATACAGGGCGAGTCAAAAGTCTCAAGACAGCATTTTGTTTCAGAAACGAAAGTGAAAATGAAATATCTGGAAGCCCCAGCGAGTCATGTGTAAGGATATTGCACATCTGATCACAGCAATCCATTTCTGAGACCATTCTGGTCTTGTTCGATGTGCTACATGTCCATCATCCCATTGGAAAAAACTTGCCCTTTATCCAAGATGTCAGCTTTTAAGATGGCAGCCATGTTCTGGACAGTCTAAAAG